AAAAATGTGGTCTACCTTAATGCACTACAGTGAGACAATGTGGAGCCTCCCGGAGGGTAGCGTCCTACCGTGGCCTAGCGAAAAAGCCGCCCGGAGGGCAGCGTTTCTGCTAGTCTAGATAAAAAAAAAGAAGTATGTCTGTGTGTTTGGTTTTTGTGTGTGTGTCCGCACGAGAATCTTGGAAACTACTTTACCGATCTGTAGTAATGATGGATGGTGTTATATGTAGTGATGATGGATGATGTTATATGTAGTGATGATGGATGTTGTTATATGTAGTGATGATGGGTGGCGTTATATGTAGTGATGATGGGTGGTGTTATATGTAGTGATGATTAGACAATAAACTAATAACAGTTTAGTGCAAAAAATATACTTTGCTGTACCGTTGTAGTGGAACTTACATACACCGTTAATGAACTATTGATGGAATTAGAAGTTTTGGGGACTGAACAGTAGTTGCAAACAGGGAGTTGATCAGAGAGACAGACTACTCAGTTGAAGTTCTGGGGAATTTTCTTGAAGAAAATGAGCCTCACCTGGTGCCTCATAAAGCAAATGTTTATGAACAGATCTTGCAAGCGATACAAGCGGAGCAGGGAGGTATGATCTATCTCGATGCACCTGACGGGACAGGAAAAACATTCCTGATCAACCTTCTGTTGGCCAAAGTACGTCATCGGGGGAAAATTGCTCTTGCTGTGGCATCCTCAGGCATTGCTGCAACACTACTAGAAGGAGGACGTACTACACACTCAACTTTTAAACTGCCTCTCAACCTCGCTCACAATGAGAATCCAGTGTGCAACATCAAAAAAGGATCGGCAAAACTCTTAGAAAAATGCAGCCTCATAGTCTGGGATGAATGCACTATGTCTCACAAGTTAGCGTTTGAAGCATTGGACAGGACCTTGCAAGATATACGAGAAAATAACCAGCTCATGGGTGGCATTACAATGGTCATTGCTGGAGACTTTCGCCAGACCCTACCTGTCATTCCTTGAAGCACTCCAGCTAATGAACTGAATGCGTGCCTCAAGGCATCATACCTTTGGAGAAGTGTTCAGACACTCACCCTATCCACAAACATGAGAGTACATCTACCAGGAGATCAGGATGCTGGACAGTTTGCAAAGCTTCTACTACAGATTGGGAATGGAACTTTCCCTGTTGATTCAGAAGGACAAATAATCATTCCTTAAGGGGACCTCTGAGTAGCAGTGGGCCCCAGAGGGACGATGCATAGGTCCACTGGCATGTGGTCACATTCTGGCGCCTATCAACCACTGCCCCGTTGCCATGCGGATTAACCTTGGTTGGTATAAGCTACGGGAGGAAACCCCGAACGAAGATATCTGCAGTGGAGCCCAGCATCAGGCACACATGCTTTCAGAGCTCCAACAAGACCTCAACGGCGGTATAGGCGGAAGAGGTGAGCAGCAATGCACGATGGACAGGCGACTGAGGTGAAATCCAATAAATTGGACTATTGGCATTCCATTGCAACAATCTCTCTCCCCAGTCGTTGTAACTACTTGCACCACTGGATCAGGAAAAGGGAGAGCCAAGATGTGTGGTTGCAGCCTGCCCTCCTGCCTCACTACATAAATCAACTAACACGCATCCACCATTCAGCTAATCATACCTCTCATCACCATGAAACCCCTATCCCCCCCAAAAAGTCCTATGGCGACAGACGATTGGCGACGGGAACAGGCAGATATGAATGCCGGCAATCTCTAGTCACAACTCTGCACATGGGCGGCTGAGGTAAGATCGTTGTTTATGCACTAGGATCTAGGCAGCGGTACAATTTAGTCCTGTCTATGCGACTGAGCAGCCCTTACCTTTTCTAGCCCCCTCTCCATGTGAGGTGAGCCACCCTGCTCACCCCACATGAGGAGGGGCTAGAAAAGGTACCCTAAACATAGTCTGTTCAACTTTAGGAATTTTTCTGACGGCGGGTCATCAATGATGCATTGACATGTGTAGATTTCAGGAATAACCTGGGTCAATTTTCCTGTTGCTACTGAAATGAGACATTGGAAAATCGTATTTGCAGTTTTATTTAGTAATGTTTGACAATAGGTATCGAGTTTTTTTTACTTTCCTCCTTGTAGCAAGAACACATGCCACACACGGAACCTCTGTATTACAACGACTGACTCTACTTTTGCAAACGCGTTATACAAAAACGGCCACACAATGCAAACACTATGTACAGACACACACATACACACATACATACATATGCTCACATACTATCTTCTTCACCTCTTGATCTTGGTGAGGCCAGGTCGTGCTTTCTCCTATTCCTAGATATCAGAAGTCTGCTCACCAATTGGGACTTGATCATCCCATCCCTTTTCTCGTGACTGTAGACATGAGCAGCTGCCTCTGTGACTCTGAGTATTTGAAGGCCAGTCTGGCACCTCCATAGGCCTGTGCACAAAGTGCTTGACTTGAGCTGTGTTGGGAGAACAGGTAAGGGGAGGTTCAGTGACCCCAGTAGTCCAGTCTATCAACTCTGACAGCTTGGTGACATCTGGGTTTATGTGCCTGGGCCCCTCCACCCAGCTGTGGTTGACTTTGATGTTGTACCAGTTCGGCAAGTACACCTCCACTATGAACTCCACTATTAGCTTGAAATTCTTCTTGTGCTTCCCTTTCAGTCCATGCTTAGACACCCACAGTCTGCACATCCTCAGTGCAGTTGTCAGCCACCTGCTATGACAGACTGTTCCGATTTCCAGCAGGATCAAGTTGTGGGGCAGCTCTCCAGTCCTGATGGCCTGGGCAATCCTTTAGCCATAAGATTGGTCTGTAGAGACGTCCCTCACAACCTCTTCACTCAGCTGGATCAGAGGAGGCCCCACACAGATCTTGGCAGACTTGGGATCTATCTCCAGCTCTGTAGTAGTGTCCAGCATCACGCCAATCTTGCCACTCGTTGAGCTGCTCTTTGAAAGCATGTGCAACAGCTGGATCCTTTAGTGTTTCGTCGCTTAGTGTTAAAGCCTCCTCTGGCGTGTTGCCTTTGCCGTTTTGGGGCAACGTGAAGGGAGAGTTTTGCTTTGACCCACCGATGTTCTATGTCACAATGGTCTGAGCCATGCATGGCTCGGGTGATGAGGACATCTCGGCGTTCTCTTTCTCTGACTGTGATGTAGTCAATGAGATGCCAATATTTGGATGGTGGGTGTTGTCAAAAATCCTCGAGCTTGTCGGCCTCCCTAAACAAGGTGTTGGTGAGAGTGAGGTTGTGTTCACCACACTTGCTGTGGATGAGTAGGCCGTTGGGATTACACTTGTCTACTCCATTTCTTCCTATGGTTCCTTGCCATGTTTCAGCCTTTCTGCCAAGTCTGGCATTGAAGTCACCTCGGAGCACAACCTTATCTTCACTGGAGATAGAGGTTAGCGCTCTGTCAAGGTTGTCATAAAAGGCCTCCTTTATGTCATCCTCTGCATCCAATGTTAAGGTGTATGCACTGATGAAGAAGGCATGGCGTGAGTGATTCAGTAGGACTCAAAGTGTTATGAGGATCTCATTGATCCCAACAGGCATTTCAGTTAGCCTATGTAGGATGGATTGGCGAATGGCAAAGCCAACTCCATAATTGCGGTTTTTCTCCACAGCAAGCTTACCCTTTTAGAAGAAGGTATATTCGGAACCCCGTTCTGTGAATCGACCCTCGCCTGGGAGCCAAGAATCACTAATGGCTGCAATGTCGATGTTATCCCTAGACAGCTCTTTTGCCAGTATCTAGTATCCAGAAGGGTCTTGACATTCCATGCAGTGACCATATGAGGTTGTTTAATTGTTTTTGCTTTGATCTGAGATTGTGATTATGTTTGGACTTCATAAGGTTGACCTTGCTGGGTGCGGTTCCCTAGTCTGGTTGGAACTTTATGCAGACTATGTTTAGGGCACCTCTTCTAGCCCTCTCCCTATGTAGGGTGTGCAGAGTGGTTCCTGGTAAGGGGTGCTCAGTCGCACAGACAGGACCGGATTGCAGTGCTGCCTCGATCCCAGGGCATGGACGACAATCTTACTATGCCGCCCATGTGATGAGTTGTGATTAGAGACTCCTGGCAGTCATCTCTGCTTGTCTCCGTCGCCACTCGTCTGTCTCCATAGGATTTTTTGGGGGACAGGGGTGACACTACTACATATACTGAGGGTAGTGGCACTAATACATATACTGAGGGGTAGTGGCAATATTACATATACTGTACTTAGGGGTAGTGACAATACTACATATACTTAGGGGTAGTGGCACTCTTACATAATTACTTAGGGGTAGTGACACGTCTACATATACTTAGGGGGAGTGGCACTACTACATATTTACTTAGGGGTAGTAAAACTGCTACATAATACATATAGTCAGAGGTAGTAGTGCTATTACATGTACTCAAGAGTCATTGCACAGCCGCCATTACACGTACTACTCAAGGGTAATGTCTCTACTACATATAGTATGGATTATATGGTATGAACACTGTTGCATCAGTAAATTAAGAAGACAATAAAAAAAATTATTAAGAAACAAAGACACTGGTAAGCCGAGGCAACATGTCTCCCCGAGTCCGAACAACAGTTCACATTTAAAGTCTTTGGGCTACTTAATCTTTGACCTCAAAAATCCTTTAAAATGCCAAAATAACACAATTAAGAAATGGCTTTGGGCGTATTCACCTAATATGCAAGTCTGCCAAGTTTCAAATTGTCTCATAATCGAGGAAGGAGAATATGAAGACACACAGGCAAATCAATAACCCAACCCCTCAACAGAAATATAATATAATTGTAAAATAGTCACATATACAGAACAAAAACTGTCTGAGAAGCGTATCTGAGTCATTCACTTCTGCATAGTTTGACCAATCTACAGTAGACTGAATATTTTCTCGCTGGCCCTACCTTGTAGACTATTTTCTCTTGACATCTGTCTTCTGGTGAGGACATATGGAATGTTGAGTGCAGGTCTAATGTGCCCCAGCTCTGTTAGATCCCAATGTAACCTAATTTAACCATTCGAATTAGGGCCCTTTACAATAAAGTCTCAATTATACTAAAACACAGTGACCAGATGTATCAATGATCTCATCAATAATATAACATACAGTAATGTGTTCACAGTGGGACCTAGTATGTAGCAGACGGGCGCTCTACTCCACCACACAGGCGATGGTGTCAATTGGGGATTTCATCGGATCTCTGGTTTTTGGCTGCCTTATAGAGGAGTAAGTACTGGCTCTGGGACTCTGTCAGGTATAGTATAATATTGCTGATTGATATATGTGTAACATATCAGAGTTTTTTTTTATAATAGTATAATTCCACACACACACTTCTATATTAGGCCATATGCGTTATTGTGATGTTCATCTAGTATTTATTCATTTAATAAGTACTGTAGGTTAAAAGTGTGTTCATGATTTGTTTGCATTAAATAAATAGGGTAACTATTTTATAATTTATGCAATCGATTTATGTTGTAGACAAGTAAGATATCTTTTTATTTTGGAGAAACTTAGGTTGGATGGTTGTAAAAATAATATTTAATACAATTCCCCCCCCCCCCCCACCCCAAAAACAAAAAGAAGAATTAGCACTTGGTAAAGATCACATTATAACACATGCTATCCATTATTCTAATCTTATTTTACGGGCACAAAATACACCCAAACAGCTGAAATGAACTTCCAACGTCATTAAAGAATGATTACACATAAATAAAATCTTGTCGTACCATCATCCCCGGATAGTGAAGGAAGTTGATGGAAAGGTAATAATACAATGTGCCATCTCTGAGAAACGTAAAATGAAACCCGAACCGTACGACGTAGGGGCAGTCTAACACAAGGTCTGCAATGTGTAGATTAACGCTCGGACAGATAAACTGACACACGGAGAGAAAGATTGATGCAAGCATAGACAGACTAATGCACAAACCAATACTCTGACGTACAGATACATGGACGGCCCACACTCCTGTACTGTATATCTTATGTGGACCTGAGAGCCCATCAGAATGGATGGGTGGTAACCGAATTTTCTAATGAAATAGACCAGAAAGTATTAAATAAATAAGGATTAAAATTGCTCAAAAGTCATGTAACTGCGAAACGCTCAGTGATTGTCTGTGACGTCACTATATTGTAATGAGTCAGCCAGTTGATGTGAGTGCTTTGACAGCCACCTTTGACCAAATAGTGCAAGGGCATTAGGTATCAACCCAGAAAATAATAGGGAACGTTGATTATTTATGGAAAGTTACCTGGATGTCCAATGAGTCCAATGGAGAAAAGTCCCTCAGAGTTCTGGCTGTGGCAATTATTTTTCAAGTGGCCGCTGTCATGGTTGAGCTGTGTTATATTACACACTTAATCTATCACGAAACTAAATAGGATGTATCCTAATTAATATAAATCCAAGATAGCGCCATTTTAGGTGTCGAAGAAGTTGAATTTGCCATAACTTGGTTGTTATTGAAGATAGGATGATGAATTAGTAGTCTGCACCCATGTTTTAGGGCATGAAGAATTCAATTAAGCCATCAGAAACACAATAGGATATGCCCTGATTAACATAAATACAAAGTGATCTAAAATTCATTTTTTAAGGTAAATCAGTGCATTAATCATGATCTTGGTGATATGCACTATTCTTTGGGTAATCATAAAACGTGTTTCAGGCTGATAGAATAAAGTAAGCAAGACAAAAATACAAGAGAATATCTTAGTCAGTCATGAAACAACAGGATTGGCACTACGCAGAATCGGAATAGTGTTAATGAGGCTTTAAATGAAACATAATTAGTGACTGAACGGTTTTTAATCCACCTATTGCATGGTTGATACATTCCTGAATGCCCTGTATGAATAGTACTTGACTGCAGCAGAAGTGGGTGGAAGAGACTCGAACAGAAATCCAGAAAACATCAATGACTTTCGGCTGACACGTTTCATATACATCATGTGGCGATACTTGTCTAAAGATGTTTTGGTTGCACCATACAACCTAAGCATGAACATCTCCCCAATGCGTGCGATCTCGTCATGGACCCCTTAGCCTCGTTTGAACACGTCAAGTATTTCCCAGTTCTCCTTTCCACCTTGCAGGACTGAGACAGCTTTCTTTTTCCCGACACAGAAGAGTTCTGAAACAGTGTCGCATCCAGCCATCGCGTGGGCAAAAAAGGATGTGGGTTTGCAATACATCTGAATCTTCCCGTTTACCTGTTGCAATCACTGTAAATATCCGTTAGCGTGATTCTTCAGGTTCCTTAGAATTATCATAAATAAATGTTTATGGGTTACATTATCAAACCCAAATGGTCTTTTCTCCATTTATTAAGAAGATAAACTAGTGCACAAATAATTGTAATATCACCGTAATTAACGCTAGGTGTTGTAAACACTAATTAATAATATGAAGCTGATATGTATCCGAGCTTCAGGAGCCTCACGTGAATCGTGGGCGAGAGAGTAAGGGTAAACTCAATTCATAGGCCAGGGGCCTGGTCCTTAATGTTTGCATAGCCAGGACAGAGGGTTATAGGTAAGATGTCAAGAGGTCATCTTTTAGACAAGAAGATTAATTACCCTACATCACTCACTTCAGTATCAGAGAGAAAACGATAGAAACTTGTTCATAGTTTAATTACCGTGGGGGTAGTAGTTATATAAATATAATGTATGTAGTCCACATTTATATAAGTATTACTGTCTGTTAGACAGGGGCGAATACACATCATGCATTGTTTGATTGGTTTGCTGTATACTGCATGTCTAGCTCCAAGTTGTTTGTGGCTTTAACCAGCATAACGAGCAAATCTGTGTCAGGCTCAGCAAGGATGATAGGGCGTTGTAGGAGCTCTGCAGTATGCAAGGCAGAGATACAAATGAGATCGTCAGCATTTGCCTAGCTCTGGCTGCATGTGATGCCAGCATGTCCAAACCTTGGTAAGCATCCGTGCCTTGTTGTGGCAGTTGGACAGAAATTCTTTCCGTGAAGTTGAAACTATGGTGACAAGATCGAACATTATCTTAGCTTAAGTGTTCTGAGTAGCACGGTGCTCTTGCTCAGCCACTTTATCCAGCGTAGCATCACTAGTGTAGCCATTAAACACGGCAATGCCTTCAGTTGTTTTATCGTTGTTTGTTGACTTACATAGTGCTGCACAGGGATTATTTTTATTTGGAGCCAGCTCTTTTGCCACAAGGGCAGTTCTTTTTTTCAGGACACTCTTTTGTGCCAATATTCAGAAGGGTCCTGACATTCCATGCAGCAACCATAAGAAGTTGTATAGCTTTTTTTTGTTTGGATCTGTGATTTTGATTGTGTTTTCGACCGCATAAGGATGACCTTACTGGGTGCGGTTACTAGTGAATTTGGGTGTTTAGGCAGGTTATGTTTAGGGAGCCTTTTCTAGCCCCCTCCCCATGTGGGGTAAGCAGAGTGGCTCCTCAAAAGGGCTGCACAGTCGCACAGACAAGACCGGACTGCACTGCTGCCTAGATCCCAGTGCATAAGCGACCATCTTATCTGTTCCGCCCATGTGCAGAGTTTTGACTAGAGACTCCCGGCAGTCATCTCTGCCTGTCCCGTCGCCACTCGTTCGTTGCCATCGGACTTTTGGGGACATAGGGGTTTTGATGATGAAGAGAGTTATGATGAGCTGGATGATGCCTGCACGTGAGTTAATTTATGAGGTGAGGCAGGAGCGCAGGCTGCAGTCACACATCTTGGATCTCCCTTTTCCTGATCCAGTGGTGCAATTGTTGCAACGACTGGGGAGAGGGAGAGTTGCAATGGAATGTCGATAGCCCAGTTTGTTGGGCTTCGCCTTAGTAGGCTGTCCATCAGGCATTGCCTTCGACCACCTGTGTAACCCGATGGGTTTTCACGGTGTGTCACCTCTTCTGCCTATACCGCCGTTGGGGTCTTGTTGGAGCTCTGTATGCATGTCTGATTGATGCGCGGCTCCACCGTAAATTTTTCGTTTGGGGTTTACTCCTGAAGCCTTACACCTACCAAGGTTAATCCGCAAGGCAGCGGAGCAATAGTTGGTAGGCGCCATGACGTGTCCACATACCAGTGGGCCTATGCGTCATCCCTCTGGGGCCCACTGCTATTCCGAGATCCCTTGCTAGTCTATTCTGGGCCCATGGGGCACCCAGTTACCGTGTGTTGCCACGAGGAGGCACAACAGGAGTCTTGATTGTAAGGAGGCTGTGTACTGACAGGGAAAGACTTATGCAAGTTGCTTCCCTGTTTGCCACGAGGGCTAGTCAGTGGCGGCAGCTGAGAGCGAGAGAGCAAGCAGTGCTTGTGCCCTAAAGCTGACACAATGCTGCCACACTCGACGGATTTCACCTCCCTTTGTGTATGACACACACACACACACACACACACACACACACACACACACACACGCTCGCACGAAACGATATCTTAGCAGTTATGTGAAGTGTAACTTCCACAATATATAAATGAGTCACTCAATTTTGTATTCCGAATCCTCATTCGTTATGGCAGTTACCATTGTCTTTGCAGATGCACTGTGCTGTACAAGACATATCAGAGTTTCTAGATTTACAGCGTAAATCCAACACCTTGAGGGTAGATTAGGGTAGTTAACATGAACTTGTCTCCATATTGCTGCCTGATACTGTGACCGCATCACAGGGAATCTTAAGGCATCGCTCGTGGGTGGCAGGGATTCAGGCGTGTTAGACTTCATGAACAACAGCCACCAAGCCTTGTCTTGTCCAGTCACTTTTTCCCAGGTTGTGAGGTAGCTCTTAGTGTTGCTCAAAAACTTTCCACGCAGTTTTCTTTGTGTGACCAGCAAAGTAGTCTCATTCACAGATGAATCAAAGGGCATTTGTTCAAGAAGTGTATGTAATGGAATAAATTTTATTTTCTTGGCTGTGTGACATATGGTGAAAGTGAACAAGAAGTAGCAGAAGTATATCAGTGTCTCGAGCATGTGCTATTACAATCTTAGATCCCTATGTCAGCTTCTTCATGTCTGGTTGATTTTACTTGTCTTGTCAATACACCCACCAGATATGACAAGCGTTGGTGCATTACGACCATCGTGTATCATCTCTTCACAGAGAAACCGTACCAAATCAGTCTTATTTTCTGACAAAGCGAAGAAATTACTCGAGAGTGAAGGCAGAGGTACATCACCATTCTCAATTACTCTTCTGATAAGTCTGGCTCCTTTGGC